CTCATTGAACACAGCTTGAACCTGAGCGAGCCATCCGGGTGTGTCCTCGGGAGGATCTGGGAACTGATGCTCAGCTGCTGACATTGCAGCCATTGCCCAGAAGCCCTGATCGTCGTTTCCTTCGGTCATTGTCTGGTTATCAGGCATGTAATCGCCTTCTGTGCCGGCTTGATGGATCATGGCTTGTTTTGTGATGTTGTTATAAGAGTCGTCACCGGTGAGCCACCAATAATCAACGAGAGTACCAAACATCGCGCCAGCCTCCCACCCTGTCAATGGTCAATAAATGTTTAGGGCTCGATTGGCATGGGGGGCTTACAGTAGTAAGGATCTGGCAAGTTTCCTGGTGTGTCGCCGGTGTTGTTTCCTGTGTAGTATTTTACCAAGCCATAAGCTGCCTGGCCGGCAGCCTTCTCGATGGATTCTGCCACCATGCGTTAGTTTCGCTCTACTTTTTGATGAAAACAAAACTCACTATTGTCATCCCATGTTACGTCGTAGGCATTGACAGCTGCTGCCCAGCCAAGTGCCGCAGTAGTTGCTCGAAGTAATGAATGCATCTTGGCAGCTTAACCCAAAACTCGGAATACCAAGACAAAGACAAGACGGGAATAACAGATGGACTGGGCCCCGTTTGATGCCAAGCTCGGCTCGTGTATCCCACTTAGACGCGTGCGTCGCCAAGAAGGAATTCAACGATATATGGTGATAGAAATATCCAACCACGAAGATGAAAGGAGTGTGCCTAAGTGAGTAGGCGAAGAACAACGAGAAAAAGAAAACGTCAAGGAAATGGGAATCGATATGCAGAAAGAGAGTATGTCCTTCCTTCTAAAATTGGCATTGCAAGAAGGGGGATGGATGCTCGAAACACCCCAATTTTTCGCTGTGGGCATGGCCACTGCTGACATTGACTGATCAATGTTGGACGATACGTCAGGGACTCCACTGAAAGTTGGAGGGAAGGGTCCCCTTTGGAAATGAATTTGTCCAAGGAGAGTGGGAGCCCATCATGGCTCGGGCTCATCGGGGCCATACGATGTGATGGATGGATGGATGCGCCTTGAGGCGGAGCAACAACATGGATCCTGCGGGAACGTGGATCGTCAGGGGGTTCACATACAAAGGCGACAGTTGGGACTTCGAGTCGGCGAGTCTGTCATGAGAGAGCAGTGTGAGAGAGAGGTACGCAAGCAGACATGCAATGGACTGCACAGTACCTGATTATGATCGGCTCCAGTGTAAGCAATGCTCCATTTGTCCCTGGAATAAATGCGGTTCCTGGAGCCAGCACGATCCAATCGTTGGCTCAATCCCTTTTCTGCATGACCTGAAGAGCGGATAAGAAACTATGGAGCATCTCTTTTAATTCGGCCGAGACTGAAAGAACCATTATTCCGTAGGGCAACCATGGATCGTATCGTACCTATGCTTACATACCTACATACTGGCAGTACACAGTCGATGAGGCGTGTGTGTTTCAGTTTCCAGGAAGGGCAATTCGATCTTTACTTAGCGAGTTAGCCAAGCCGGGATCACGGAACTCATTGTTTAATTATTGGTTTAGGTTATTTTGTTCCCGCGTTAGCGTGCGCCTTTACAGAAATTCTAGAAACACTGTGGTAGGGATACAGTACTGTGTAGAGCGGTATGTGGGAATGCTGCCGGAAATTTATCCCTGCCTTACTCCGTAGTACGTAGGTCGTAGATATGTCTAACCGAGCATGCGTATGCACTGTTAGACTGTATCCTGACGCGTACAGAGGATAGACAGTTTCTTTTATCTATAACGAGCTTTGGTTTCCAGTCTAGCAATTGTTTCAGCCACTCGAGCTGAACTTTGTCAAAGGTATACATCACTGTCTGCAAGTTAGAGCATGCAGGATGTTGCAAAGTTATCAAGGATCTAGGCTTATCATTATTTGGACCAGTAACCTAAATGGTCTTGCGCTGAATAGGAATTGATAAATCTGATATCGTTCACAAAGTAGGTACGCATTCAGCATTCTAGAACAGCACTGCTTCACGAGATAACGCGGAAAGCCAGCGCAGTTTCATGCTATTGACATCTTTTCTTTAGACTCTGCTGGCCATTCTATCATACTTGCATTCTCTTCCGCATTATTACCCAGAAAGCGATCCACCAGCAAGTAAACAAATACGCTTATGCTTTTTTTTTCTCATCTTACATATTAGCTGATTAATTACTGGGTAGGGTTGCCTTTAGCAATGGACATACCTTGTCTGGATTGCAGTGCTTTTAGAAGTTAATTAAGCTTATAATATGAAAACACGGTCCACAAGCTAAGTTAGTATCAGGTTGTTACGAAGCTTGGGATATTACTCGAACAGGAAAGCCGGTGGTTACACGCATGTGCGTGCAATGCCGCCTCTTGTTACATTGGCCCCCCCAACCATCGAACAATTGACAATGCAGTTAAACAACCTGTTGAGCCTCCCATGTCTGTCTGAAGCCTAAGAGTTGACTTAACTCCACCCCGTTTCCAATCTGTACACTGCGCGGGAATTGTGTTGTTCTCAACAACTCCATCATCAACATCTCATATGTCCACCTCGTACAAGTCTCATGATTGCAAGTCAATGGCCACATGCTCGTTAACAGTGGGAACAACTTCGGTATACCTAAACCGAATACCCAATATCCATCCATCGATGGCATCTCCCGTGACATATTCCCTACCCCGGCCTCACAGCTCCAACCCCGCTACAAACCCCGCGATTCCCCCACTTGAGCTCGGTGTTGGCTTCCATTCATCCATCCTTCATCGTTTGAATCCATACAGCCAACATAAATAACCTCACCTGATTGCCACTCCCATAGTGGCGGTTGTCTTGGCAGCTGGTACTTAAGAAGCTTGGATCACTCAGATATCTGTCCCAATTGATCAATAATATCTTCTTAATTAAGAACCAATTTCATCTCATCTCTATAATACTGGTTGATCAACTCGCTCCATCCGTCTATTATCATGTCAGCCAAACACTTTGTCAACGATCCAACCCACCTCGTCTCCTCAGCTCTCTATAGTCTCACCCTCACCAATCCGTCGCTCGCCCTAGATCCAGACTTCAAAGTCATCTATCGTCGTCCTGATTCCAATGCCAAAGCACAAGTGTCCATTATCTCAGGAGGTGGCTCCGGCCATGAACCCTCATTCGCCGGCATGGTCGGCCAAGGCATGCTCTCCGCAGCCGTAGCTGGAACCATCTTCGCATCTCCCTCAGCAGAGCAAATACGTACAGCAATTACCTCCCGCGTCGATACATCAAAGGGAGTCCTAGTCACTGTAATGAACTATACTGGTGACGTCCTCAACTTTGGCATGGCTGTTGAAAAGGCCAAGGCTGCAGGGCTCGAGGTTAAGATGGTAGTTGTTGGCGACGATGTTGGTGTTGGTCGTGCAAAAGCCGGAAAAGTCGGACGTCGTGGAATTGCAGGTACAGTTCTCGTTCACAAAATCTCAGGTGCCCTAGCAGCTCTAGGAAAGCCACTTGACCAGGTTGCCAAATATGCACAACTGACAGCAGACAACCTCGTCAGTGTGGGCGCCAGTCTCGAACATGTGCATGTTCCTGGGCGAAAGGCCGATACGGAGGGCAATCTTGCGGCAGACGAGGCGGAGCTGGGAATGGGTATTCACAATGAACCCGGCTCTGGCCGTGAGAAGGCTGAACTACCCGATCTCGTAAGTAAAATGCTCAAGCAATTACTCGACACCGCAGACAAGGATCGAGCTTTTGTGAACGTTGATTCCAAACAAGTTGTTCTCATGATCAACAACCTGGGAGGAGTCAGTGTTCTTGAGCTGGGCGGCATCACTGCAGAAGTTGCGAGTCAGCTCGAGTCAAGTTACAATATCCGGCCCGTGAGAATACTCAGTGGAACATTCATGACCAGTCTGAACGGTCTCGGCTTCAGCATTTCCCTTCTCAATGTGGTCTCGCCTGATTTCGAAGCTCCGAGCATGATTGAATTGCTTGATGCTCCCAGTGAGGTGGTTGGATGGTCTTCACCCGTCCAGGCCAGCACCTGGGAAGCCAAGAATACCAATACGAGAACAGACCGTGCTGGTGTTACCGGGGATATCAAGTCTAGTGGTCTAAAAACAGACCCTGGTACCGCGCAAGCAGTATTGAAGAAAGGCCTGCAAAAAGTGATTGAAGCTGAGCCAGAGGTCACCCATTACGATACTATCGTCGGAGATGGTGACTGTGGAATCGGTTTGAAACGAGGCGCTGAAGGTCAGTCCGACGCATCGTGGCCCTGTTAGGGAAAGGTCATTTACTGACATAAAACAGCAATCCTTAAGCACGTCGATGAGCAACCTCTTACCGGCGACGTTGTCGTGGATCTCTCATCAATCGTAACAATCGTGGAAACGGCCATGGATGGAACCTCTGGTGCTCTGTACGCCATCTTCCTCAACGCCCTGGTTCATGCTCTTCGTGAACTGTCACCCAGCACCGCCTCGCCTGAAATCTGGGGCAAGGCCCTCAAAATGAGTAGCGATGCTCTGGCTAAGTACACGCCTGCTCGTCCTGGAGATCGGACACTGGTCGACGCCCTTCATCCTTTCGTGGAAACCCTTAACCAGACAGGAGATATCAAGAAGGCAGCTGAAGCAGCACTGGAGGGGGCTAATAAGACCAAGGGTATGCAAGCCAGCCTGGGTCGGACGGTTTATATCGGGGGTAGTGGCTATCAGGAGGTTCCCGATCCTGGAGCTTGGGGGTTGGCCAACTTCTTCCTGGGCTTGAGCAGTTAGGCAGTCTATAACCTCTGCTGTTAGCCAGTAAGGCCAGTTGATCGGCAGTGTGCAAATATTGATAACGCATGTAATGAACAGAATATGGTATGGGGAAATCAACATGTTTTCAACGCCTATGTAGTCCCTGTGAGTCTTGCCCGTAAGACATACAAAAATCCCATTCTCAAATTCGAGCTCTCACCGCCCCAAAATCATGACGGTAGTGAACCATTAGCTGAGAAGAACCAAAATGACGCTATCGCCTCGTAGGAACCTGTGATAAAGTCAGCACTCAGCCTCGACGTTCCTGTCACCGCTAATTGACAAGTTGTTGTGTTATAGACGTACATCTTGCTGATGAATCTATCCTTGTTCACCGGGCGACCCTTCTTCCCGTTTGCTAACCGAGGGGTCTCTGTCCACATCTCCTTCACATTCTCCAGCACCATATTGCAATGGCGATCGAAGGCTTTGACACGCGCAAGGAGCTTGCGGTTGTTGCGGATGGAGATGAGCACTTGCACGTGCGATCGAACGGCGGTCTGAAGGATAGATAGAGGGCCGGCAGAGAACTCGTGTTCTTCTAGCTGGGCAATCTCGTACTCACTGGAAGATGATGTGTTAGCAATCGAGGACTTGTCGCGGGGCTGGAAGAAGAGAAGAGGTGACTGTCACGTACGTGAGTTCATTGCGCGACTTGCTAAGAAGCTCCCTGATTAATCTGTTAGTACTGTGGGGCTGAGAAGATGGACTTGTTGTGACATACTGAATCTTGGGGTCCGTCGACATCTTGGAAATAATCTGATAGTTTGGGATGTTGGAGATGCGCGCAAGGCTGAAGCCCAGTTACATACTTTGTACATAGCTCAAAAAGTTGACCACGAGTTGGAGCACGTGTCTGATTGGCTGATGGGACAGACCCATTTTTCGAGCTTCATGAGAAGTCATGTGACGATAGTAGAGAGCAAATCCTCCACCAAAAATGTGGCTGCGAACCTTGGTATGGGTTTTTGGGCTATTAGGCGGCTTGTTGCGGACGGTTAAGAAAAGCATTGCCGCGGACCTCGGACAAGACTCCAAGCCATCTTATACCCCCTCTTCCTTCACCTCGATGGGCATGTCGATCGCATGTGCGCATCGCTAATTCTTCTTCTCATACAATGTCATTTCGAACTTTGTCAGTCCGAGCTTGCGCCTCAGCTAATGTTGCAAGTCGGAGCTCACCAAGAATCTTCAATATGGTCCAGCAATCAAAAATTCTGAGCTCTTCGCTCGGTGCACGACAGGTGAACACAATTATCGGGGTCTCTGTTGCTATGAATTCTAATTTCATGTCATAGCTTTCGTCGGAGGCCACCAACATCCGAGAGAAGCGAGGGGATGATCCAAATGATGTAGTGTTCGAGAGCAAGTATGGTCTACGAACCGTCATGCTCAACCGGCCGAAGAAGCTCAACTCACTCGATGCCTCGATGATCCGAAAGATCGTGCCCCGACTAATCGAATGGGAAAAGTCTAATCTCGCCAATGTTGTCGTTATGAAGGGTGCCGGCGAAAAGGCCCTCTGCGCTGGAGGTGACGTTACTGCGCTCGCCAAACTCAACTCGGAGAGTGAGGACGGTTGGCAGAAATCGGCACAATACTTCGCCCTCGAATATAAGCTGGACCACTACATTGCGACATACAATAAGCCCTACATCGCTTTCATGGATGGTATCACTATGGGAGGTGGTGTTGGTTTGAGTGCCCATGCCCCTTTCAGGATCGCGACCGAAAAGACTGTCTTTGCCATGCCCGAGACTACAATTGGATTCTTCCCCGATGTTGGCGCTTCGTTCTTTCTTCCTCGAATGAACGGATCTGTCGGAACCTTCCTTGCGCTTACCAGCGAGCGACTCACTGGCCCCAACGTCTTCTACTCGGGTATTGCCACCCACTACCTGCATTCAACCAGCTTGCCTGATCTAGAGGCACGTCTAGCCGAACTGCGCTTCCGGGACAGCGACGGTTTGCCTGAGCGACTGGCACTCATCAATCAAACTCTTGAAGAATTCTGTACCGGTCTTCCATATGACCAGCCCATAACCCTGAGCGGCGAGATTCGCCAGGCAATCGACCGATGCTTCAACAAGCACACCATCAGCGAGATCATTGCTGCCTTGCAGGCTGAGCGGGGTCCAACTGAGGAGTGGGCGCAGAAGCAGCTCAAGACGCTACACAAGCGATCACCTACAGCTGTGCATGTGGCTCTTCGCCAGATGCGTGTAGGTGGTGAGTGGGATATCGCTGAAACGTTTAAGAGGGAGCACCAGATTGCCACTAAGTTCATGCAGCATCCCGACTTCACCGAGGGTGTATCAGCACTGCTCATCCGAAAGGAGGCGCCCAAGTGGCAGCCTGAGTCACTCGAGGCGATCGGAGGCACAAACGTGGCCAAGCCCTTCTTCGAGTACGACTCCAATAATGAACTAGCCCTTTTCACCGATCGCACATTCAAGGAATACCCTCACCGGGAACTTGGTGTGCCATCCGAGAAAGAGATTGAGGAAATTCTGTCAAGGGGCACATATACCCAGGAGCAGCTGGCCAACAAAATTGCGTCCTCGCGCAATGGACGCCAAGGCATCGCTGAGGTCGCCAAAGAGATTATCGCTCGCAAGACGGCAGTGGATGACCAAGGCAAGGCTGTTTGGATGGCGGATGAGTCGCTCCCTGGAAGCCGACTGTAATTCCTCACATGCTACCAATACTTGGATAATAAAATGTAAAATAGATGCCACTACGAGATGTAAATTATGTAGTGCGTGTGCTGATAGATGAATGGCGATGATATCAAGCGACAAGAGAAATGCGCTTCAAAATAGATGATGCTTTTTTCCTCCCACATAGAGTCACATTAGCGCTCATGAAGTCTTGAATGATCATAGCGTAAGTGGTGAACGAGAGACTTGAAGTGGGGTCGGGATGAAAACAACAAAAATCATTTTAGTGAGAGATGGAACTTTGGCTGAAAAGTCTCATTTTGTCGCGACTTTGTTTTGACATGACCAATGACCAAAGAGGGGCAGATGCAGGTAGTGGAGGGCCAGATGAGCGGGTATGTAAGCTAAAGAAGAAACACCAAGTCATGTTTTCCAGACATGGCTAATAATAAAAGGATGGATAGATGCAGACAGGAGAGAGAGAGAGAAACAAACGAAATGCGGAGATAAGGGAACAGGACCAGCAAGAGGATCCAGTTAGCAAACTATCTCATGTAGGCAGGCACCCGATAGAGTCTATTAGATGACCTCAGGCAGAGGGCAAGAGTATAAAAGGGACAGTGTCCCGCCGCAAGAAGAGCCTCGAAAGAAAGACGAGACATCTCCGTCTTTCCCTGGCTCATTTCTACCCATTTTCCCGTCATCGAAGCAAGTCGGCAGTTACTGGGTTGGCCATAGCAAAACAGCCTGCGAAAAGGCTCAGGTTCGCAACCGACTAGAAAGATACGTACCGTTTCAAAAGTACGACGACTTTTGAGATTGGATAGCAGGGCACGTGAGTTGCATTGTCCGGCCCCACTGAACCGCTCCGTGTCGGAAGAGGTGGGTCTCACTCCCACCACCGACCGACTGCAGGCACTAAAAGGGTAATTGACAGGGGTTATTGGCTCATCAACCACTGGAGTGACACGGCGACCCTCCATCTTTTCTTCAGTTTCATTCAAGCAGAACACGCCTTTGAAGCTGCATCACAACACACTCGAGGCATCTACAACTTTCTTCAATCATTGATACTTCAAATTTTGGGGTTTTGTTTGAGTTCTTCTTTTCTCTTACTAACCACAGCCCCATCACTGCCTTTCCCCCCTCTTCACTATATTCTCTGTCTTCTCGTTGTCTAGCCAGCGCGCAAAACTATCAGCACACACTTTAACTTGATCCACCTTCGCTCCACGACGCGACTTTGGCGGGTTAGAGCGCGTCACGAACATGACGCCCGCCTCCCGAATTTGATATCACGTCCCGGCCAACGAGCTCAAACATTAAACCTCCCCACTACTATTTCCTACGGCTTGTTGAATTATCCACTACCAAACCTCACGTCTTGTCTTGACCTTTTCCTTCTTTCTTCTCGGACGTCGCTGCCTTGTCTCTGCTTACATGATATAAACACACCATATACGACGACGACATAATTCACGATTGATTCTTCAAGCGCCATCTCTGACCTCCCCCCTTAGGGGATTAACCGCCATGGCCTCACCAATGCCCAATCCTATTCAAGGCGGCTGGAATCACAACGGTCAGACGATGCAACAGAACGTGGAAACAAATGAAGCAGGCGTCCAAGTGAGGCCTATGGGCCGTATGCAAAATCCATGCGTCTGGTAGTTCTCTTGCTAACTTGATGTGCAGTCAAGGTACATTATACATTTGACAAGGAGGCCAAAATCAATTGCCTTGCTCGTTCAACACAAACCCTCTTCGTTCAAACGATTCCCCTCGATGAACAAAACTCCATTGGCATTGTCGACTTGAGAGCGTGTCTACAGGCAATCACCGAATGCAGCCCAGAACTCGGGAACCAAGATACTGAGGGCGACTACACCATTTACGCACTCGATTATTCAGAACCAGACACCCCCTTGGTTGGACAAGGCATGCTATCATGGGCACTCGACTCAATGCGTGGTGGTGAATGGCTGTCTCAGTCGCCCAAAATGGTAACTGGGCGTGTTACCAAGAACTTGCTTGCCGTATTTGGAGGAGGAAACCGCGAGACAATCGAAGTCAAGCTCAAGTTCACAGTCGGTTCCAGGCTTCAAAGGCGAGAACCAAATGTTGACATGCCACCCATGGAGATACCGCCTCACCCTATGCAACCCACGCCTTTACAACCCGCTCCACTGCAGCCTGCCTCTATGCCACCCTCCCGCTCTGCTGAAATGGCCGTGGCTTCTGGTGCCGCTGAATGGAGCTCTTTCATCCAGGCCAACCCTCATATCGGACACACAGCACATGTGTCTCGAGTGGCATCACCTGCGCTTTCTCAAGGCGCACCACCTGTTTCAATTGAACGACGAGACTCGATTGATCCCGCGATTAGCCAAGCCAATTCAGGATCGGATGTTCAGCGCATAGCACCCATGCCCGTCCCTCCATCAACTACCGCTGCTTCTACGTCAAGACCTTCTAGCAGAAGCTCCCGCAACAGGAAGCCACCGACAGGGCGGCCTCGCGGTAGGCCGCGAAAGAAGCCTGCCGAAGGAAACACCTCAGGGTATGAAGACGGCACCGAGGGCGAGGATGGCGGCTCAGTGCCAGTCAAGAAAAGAGCCAAACCCATGAAGGTCGAAAAGGCTACTCCTAACCCCTTCACTTCAGGTCCAGAATCTCTACGTGTCACTGCTAGTACCGCTGGTTCTCTTCGAAATTTCCGTCCTGTTAATGCAAACAATGAGGCAGTCGCTGGGAATCATCTACAGGAGGTTCCTCGGGCACCTACTCCCGTTCCTGAGGGAGGACCCCTGAACGGCCCTGCCCAGCCTGGCCCCAAAGGTGTCAAGCCTCGGAGTCAATCCTCGATGCGCAAGGAGCTGGGTGCTACTCTGAGCAACCAAATACCCCCGAGACCCCTTCGCGCCTTGTCCCCGAGTCAAGAGGATGGCCGTTCTCCAGAATCGCCTGTCGAAACTCCTGCCTTTTCAGAGGATAGCCCGCAGGACATACGGTCATCCCCCCCTCTGCCACGAACAGAATCTTTCATGCGGTCAAGTCCTCCTCCTTCCAGTCCTGTTTTGCCACCCATGCCGTCCCTACCAAGACAAATATCGAGCTTTGCAGAGAATGAAACAGACGACTTGTTGGATGAACCTGTCTTACCAACAGCCAAAGAGGGCCAGACTTATAGCCAGCCTAGGACGCAGAAAGTAATGGAAGACGTGGATAATACCGGAATTCCAACCCAAGTGTTCAGAATCGAAGACGGGCCAGAAGGCCAAGGGCTCGTTCATATCCAGAACTTCAACACCCCTTACCCAACCTCAACTCCTGCTGGTCCCCCTCCATCAGAACCCGTTACCGCGAAGAAAGTTGCCATCCCTCGACTAGTTCGAAATTCTTCTCAGAAACGACCAGCAAGCTCAAAACAACAACCACGAGGCTATGCACCAACACCTCCTCCTACGACAGATGCTCCAGAAAAGGATAGCCCAGTCCCTACCACTGCACCCTCGCTGCCAGATTCTACTCAAGCGCAGGGCAACCAAGCTATAGAGGCAATGGAAGAAGATGCCCTCTTTGAATTAGTGCGCGCAGTCTCTAGTTCTTCTGAGCCTAATACTTCAATTTCAACTAACCAATCTACTGAAGGATCTTTACCTACTTCAAAATCAAGTACTCGTGCCATCGCACCAAAGCCCCGCCCCTCGCGACCACTCGGCAGATCACAGTCCGCAGGACTTCTAGCTTTGCCATCTGTACCGGCAAGCGAGCCTGCTGGGCCATCTTCTCTATCACAGTCTGTCCTTGCGGAACCGCCCCGCCCTTCCACAGACACCACAACTTGTCTTCGTCGTTCCAAATCGGTCAGCGTCCCCAAACCGATTGCTGCCAGTGACCCTTTGGGACCGCCTGAGACATATTTGATTACAAACACTCTACCTACACTGTCAGAGGCAATCTTTCCGCAGAGCGACTTTCCTCCTATGCCCTCGTCCCCGCCCTATAAGTCCAACAAGAACCAAATCAAGAAGGACTCCATTAAACAGAGGCTAGAATCTGCAATCGCAGCTGGCGAGATGCCTCCGTTCTGCACTAATTGCGGTGCCATTGAGACCCCAACCTGGCGCAAGATTTGGGTTCAGGAACATGACGGAGCACCAGAAAGCGTGGAGTACTCAGAGAAGCCTGGCCGGGTTACTGCCATTGAGATTCTGAAACGGGATAAGGACAAGAATCCCCTGTCCCACCGCCTTATCAAGAAAGCGCTTGGTTTTGGTGATGACCGAAATGACTGGTCAGAGAAACTGCTCTGTAATCCCTGCGGTATATGGATGTCTAAATATCACAACCACCGCCCACAGGACAAATGGGATAACGGGCTTCTGGGCCAGAGTCGAAAGAAGCGGGGATCCGCTGGCCCTGAGTCGCAGGCAAAACGTGCCCGTACTAAGAGTTCTTCGGCGCCCCATCCTCCTTCAGAAACCTTCCCAGCCACAGACTCCATTGGACCGGTCGAGCGTTCATCCCCTAAGCAGGCTAATGTTATCTCTATGGGATCACGAGTTAATGAAGATGCGGCCATGCAGAATGTATTTCATTTACTGGCGGCTGACGGGCGCCATAATAACATGAGTCAGTCAGTCCCAGGCTCCTCCCATTCCCGGGCTTCCAGAGGTACTGGGACTGCTGACAGTCCCATCGAGATGGACCTTGATGACGAGTTGGGAAGCACTCGACGCCTGCTCTTCCCTTCACCCCGTAAGGGGGGTACACCGAAGACCTTGGGAGAGATCGATGCCAACGTGACTAAGACAGCAGACTGTCGGCAAAACAAGGAGATCTGTGGAAAGGAGAATGCAGTCTACGATGCTCAGAGCGAAGATCTCATTATGGATGATGACATAGAGGCGTTGTTTAACAGCCCAGTTCGTCCTTCGACGCCGCCGCCCAAATCCAAGGCCGATGCTGACTCGGCTCTCTTCAAAACCCCGACACGCCCTACACCCAGCCATCGACCTATCACACGCAGTGTCTCGCGATCTCTTCGATCAGTGAGAGATTTATTGTCTCCTAGCCAACAGGCGCTTCTACAAAGAACGCCGACCAGAAGTCCTGCGAGCGTTAGGCGCAGCCCACGACTTAATCTGGAGAGCAAGTTAGAGAGTGTCCTCGATACTCCCCTGAGCCGAACCATAACGCAGTTGCTCTCTGAGCCAAACTTTGACTTGGCGAGTAGCACTTTAGATTTTTCCACGCTCCCATTGCTAGATACAGACCCTGCCAGTCTAGGTGACTTTGGCAGTTTTCTCAGCACCGACGGCATTGCGCCAAGTTCATCCCCCAAAGATGGTAATGTGAACTTCACCTACGGTGGTTCAGATAATGTCTGGGCTGAATGGGGCGGTATTGAACACAAAAGTACTGTCCAGGAGAAGGAGAAGTAAAGAATGGTTGCAGACGTTTTCTTTGCTTCTAATGCTTGTTTTTTGAGTTCGTTTAACAGCACTGTTAGTCAACAGGTCCATGAAGAGTACGACGGTACGAATAGTTAGGTTGATTTTTCTGGGACGGGCTTATGCCAAGTAGACGGCGTTTGGACAATTACACGAAAGTAACGGCGCTTGTTTATTCATAGCGGATACGATACCTTGATAGTGGCTGAGAAATGCCTGTTTTAGAAGCAAATTGCAGCATAAGAAGGCAATGTCTGATTAATTAAGTGCATTCTTTTATAAGCCTTGATATACCTGCATTGACTGTCTGTATCCTATTGTTTAGTAGTAGGTAGTTAGTCGTTCTGATCATGGTAACTATGGCCAGCCCATTTTATAGAAAATTGACCGTGTGCATGATTGGCAGCACTGTACCATTAATTTCTGACCACTTAACGCGGTCTGGAATTTAGTTACCTGTGATACGACGCGTCTCGTCGCGCCCACATCTAGACCCCTCCAGACGTTTTGACCTTCACCAATGCCATCTTTTTAATCCATATACGACCTTTGTCTTTGCCGGAAATCTCGAGTTGCTACGAACAACCGCGTTTGAGTTTTATTATCGCCCATGATGGCGGACGAAATTGAAAGCCGATTCTCCCCCAATAAGCCGCTTGAGCCCGATGTCCTCAGCGAACTGGAATCCATTATGCGCCTTCATGGACTCTCGGCCGAGGATCTCTTTTTCAAGTGGGAGTCGTATTGTATAAAATTGGATCTTGACGCTCAGGCCCTAAGTCTCGAAGTTCTTAGGAACCTCAAGCAGAGCATCCAAGATGAGCTCGAAAACAGCCATCGAAATGTTCAGGTCAAGACCGAGAGAAAGGTAGCCAACACACCGAGAGGCACAGCAAAGGTCGGCGATGTTTTTGGGATGTTAGATGGGCTTGTTCCCAGCACTCCAGCGTCGGGGGCAAAGTTGAATAGGGGTGCTGCGAGTGGCAGTGCTGTTAAGAGAAAGACGGAGACGCCAAAGGGGCTGATGAGCTCGCCAGCTACAGGTATGAGTGAGCAGCTCAAGTCGTTGAATGGACTACCGTATGTTACTTCGTCTCACCAACTGCGTCGGCTTTGCTAACATCATCCAGGCCCACATCGTTCCGTGATCGAGCAAATCCAGGAGAGACTGTTGAAATCCTCAACGATCGCCTCAATGCAGCCGAACCACCGATTGCGCCCTTCGCTGAGCCTCGAATAAAGCTCACAGCTGCCTCGGATCAAAAGAAGCTGGGATACAAGCCATTGGCCATGAAGCTCTCCGAGGCCAGCGAAATTCTCGATGACCGGATCGACAACTTCATGGCTCTTATACAGCAGCATCATAAGATCGATGAGAACGAATTCGGCAGTGCTGCTGCGCAAAGTACAACTGAGGTCGTGGCTGTTGGCCGTATCGCTTCTGACTCCTCAGAAGGAAAACTGAATGCTGCATCACTGGTTTTGGAAACCTCCAGACGAACAGGAATGGGCTTGCGGGTACCGCTAAAAATGGACAACATCCGCTCATGGAGCTTCTTCCCCGGCCAAATCGTCGCTTTTCGGGGTGCCAACGCCTCAGGGAACGAATTTGTCGTGAAGGAGGTTCTCGAGGTTCCTCTGCTTCCCAGTGCTGCATCTTCGCTTTCTGCACTCGAGGGGCATCGTGGGAGGTTCCGTGGTGGTCCTGATGCGATGGACGAAGATTCAGAACCTGCACCCTTGAGCATTCTCTACGCCTCTGGTCCTTATACCGCTGACGATAATCTCGATTTTGAGCCACTCCATGCACTGTGCAGTCAAGCAGGTGATACTTATGCAGATGCGCTTGTCCTCACAGGGCCGTTCCTCGATATTGATCATCCCCTCATTGCCACGGGAGATTTCGATCTTCCTGAAGAGGCAAATTTTGACCCCGATACAGCTACTATGGCAACAGTATTTAAATACCTTGTTGCTCCCGCTTTCAACCGCCTTGCAACCTCAAACCCGCAAATAACCATCATCCTTGTCCCGTCAGTCCGCGACGTATTATCAAAACATGTCTCATGGCCTCAAGACTCGATTCCTCGTAAGGAACTCGGCCTTCCCAAAATGGTCCGCATTGTCACGAACCCCATGACTCTTTCGATCAACGAACTTGTCCTTGGTGTCTCATCGCAGGATGTCCTCTCCCAGTTCCGCTCGGAAGAGGTTGTGTCTCGCGGTGGTGGACAACCTGGCACTGATCTCATGAGTCGGTTGTGTCGGTATCTAGTTGAGCAGCGACATTACTTCCCGCTGTTTCCTCCTACAGATCGCTCTAAGTTACCTAAAACTGGCACGGAAGATGGTTTGGCTACTGGTGCTGGTCTAGATTTGAGCTATCTTGAACTGGGAGAGATGGTGAATGTCAGGCCAGATGTCATGGTCGTGCCGAGTTTACTACCTCCATTTGCAAAAGTATGTCTCTTGGCTCCTTTTTTTTGTCTTCATTCTTACTAACTGAACTTCAGGTCGTCGAGAGTGTCCTCCTTATCAATCCTGGCTACCTTTCTAAGCGTCGCGGCGCAGGTACCTATGCACGAATGACATTATATCCTCCCCCGGTATCAAATGGGAGTAGCGAAGATATGATGGGCCATCAAATATATGATCGTGCTCGCGTAGAGATTGTCAGAATATAGAGCATAGCTGGGTACGAGTCCAGTACTGCATGTAATCTCGCGAGACACGTAAAAAAGAAGCCAAATGCAAGGCACATACCATGGCTGTTTGGGTATTATTAATAGTATAACAAGAGCAGGCCGAGTTCATCTGGCATCCACCCTGCGTCTTTTGTCGCTCTCGTACCGCTCGTTGTCGCGTGACGTACTGCGTTTACGACGCCGGTAATCATCTCTATCTCTATCATTTTCGCGTCGTGGCGAACGTGACCGTGACCGTGATCTACGTCGACTTTGTCCATCGTCTCTTGATCGATAAGAGTCCCTGGCCCTATCTCTTCGATCTCGGTGGCCATTATCTCTCTCATCCCGGCCGTCTCTCTCACGGTCACCTAGAGGAATGGCATTGGCACCGCCTGCGCTTCGTTCGTCACGGCGAAACCTGTCATCGTCGGGTCTGAAACGCTCGTCTTCCTCAAATCGCCCGCCGTCTCTCTTTCGCCCATCGCCGATAGCTCCCCATCGGCCTGTGTCCTCGGTACGCATGTCCCTGTACTTTGTTGCACCTTTACGGCCCAGCTTGGCCATGTCGCGACGCTGCAGGTATTCGGGGAGGGCCTCACGGTTCCGCACATCGTCCTGGATACGACTGCCCATGATGTCTCGCTTATCCAGACCAGCCGCTTTCATCTCGTCCTGGTAGAATGCTCCCTTGTGTAGATAACGCTGCATGAATGACATTTTGCCCTTGCCCTCCTTTTCCTCTTTCTGTTGCGCGAGGAAAGCCTCGTCTTCGGCTTGTCTTTCCTCCTCGGTCAAGTTACGTCGACGCTCAACTTCTGCAAGCTCCTTTTCACGCTCTTCGATAACAGCGCGGGCGCGCTTCAGACGTTTGAGTTCTCGAACGCGCCAAGCTGCTTCTTCAGCCTCTGGATCTAGCCCGTCTGTTGTATCCACGTCCGAGTCCTCGTTCTCGTCGTCATCCCAGTGCTTTTTGCCTGCTGCGCGAGCGGCAAGATCCTTTTTTATTTGCTCTTCCACAAGCTCGTCAGCGGCTTTCTTGCGGGCCTCTTCTTCGGCCTGCCGTGCTTCTTCCTCTTCTTGCGCAGGGGTCTTGGCGTTTCCTCTTTGGCTTTTTGGTACGAATTTGGGCCGAATCATTAATCTTCGTGGAGCTTCGTCCTCACTGCTCTCCTCTTCGGATTCACTTTCCTCCTCCTCATCGTCGTCTTCTTCCTCTTCACTTTCTTCCTCCTCCTCTGTCACGAAACCTTCTTCTGCAGCAAGGCGCTCGGCTTTTTCCTTGGCAAGTCTCCGTTCTTCGGCAACTTCCGCTTCTTTCCTCCGAGCGTCGAGGTCGACTTTTCTCAGGTTGCCTGATGAAATTTTGCCCGCGCTGGTCGCTTTCGGTGGAGGTGGAAGCGTTGGCTCATTAGACTCTTCGTTTTCGCTCGCGTCGGAATCTGAATCTGAATCTGCTCCTGTGGGCTTACCAGCGCGGTAACGCGCTGGTTTCACCGGGTTTGCTGTCATTCGTTTAGGTGGCATTGTGATAAAGCGCTGGGGGTGAGGTTGAAGATGCGACGCATGCTCGTGACGTTGAAGGCTGGTAGTGAATAAATTAATGGGTCTCGATATGATAAGCTTATCGTGTCAGCTACCCTGTATCTTGGGAATACAGTTGTTTTTAACATCTGTAGCCTTTTTAATTCCTAAAAAGAAAATTGTGTCGATGGAATATCCCTTCCTTATTTATTGTATAATTTTGTATTATAGGATCATTCTAAAATGTGCCAGTGGGAGCTCCGATGTACCGCCTGCTATCCTGTGGTTTCGAATCAAACATAAACAGTCAGGTTTCGCAAGCCGAGCATGAAAGAAAACATGAACGATTGACCAATACTTTTCTGTAGCATGGATTGATACACCGTGACATGAAGAAGAATAGAGCCATGACCATGTCTTGACTGTTGCCACACAACATGTTATTGTTTCTCTTAATATCCTGGTTTAGTGATAGCGGTCATGATGCGTATCACTACCTATTTACCCTATATATAATCCAAATAATACTTCTTGTCTAGCGTAATGTCGACTTTTACCTCTTCTATAGTCTAACTATTGCCGTCCAACTTCTTCAAGACCCTTAACAAGGCCCTCGACTGTCCCTGGCAGAGTTTGGCAGTTGACCACAACACGGAAGAAGCTGCCATTTGGACCAGGGGCATAATCAACCATGTAACCTCTGAGGATCATCTTCTCAACCATAGTCTTGGTTCGGAGCGTGTTCTCCTCTTTGTTATGGGACAGATTTCTCTCGGGGGAGTA